CCTAGAAATTGGGTGACGATATTTTACCGTAATGTTGTTGATGGCTCTACAATCTACGCACATTCTCCAAGTTCCATCTTTCTTTGGCACCAGCAACACAGGTACTGCACATGGACTCATGCTTTCCCGTACATATCCTTTGCTCATCAATTCCTCAACTTGCCTCTGAAGCTCCTTTGACTCCTCTGGATTACTTCGATAAGTCGGTCGATTCAGAATGACAACGCCAGGTATGAAATCAATTTGGTGCTCAATTCCTTTAATGGGTGGTAGCCCACTAGGCACATCCTCCGGAAACACGTCTTCAAATTCTTGCAACAAAGAAATAGCTAAATTAGGGAGGGATGTGTTATGCTCCCTAAAGTTGAGGAGTGATTCCTTGTAAACCAACAGTATCATTTGTTGCCTCTCAACTATTGTCTTTTTCAATTCACTCTCTCTCACAAAGAAATTTTATTTCGACTTTTCTCTTTTCTCGGAAGACTCTCTTTCTTTTCTCTTATGTGGCTCCACTCTCTTTTCCTCTCTATTAGTTACCTTACTTATTTCTCTCCTTTTCCCTAACTCTCTCACTCTCGCTTCTTTATTTTTCAATTGAATTTGGTCATCATATACTTGTGCCGGTGTTAATGGCGCAAGATTGATAGACCTCCATCTTTCACAAAGCTATACTTGTTTTTATACCCATTATGCATCGCTTTCCTATCGTACTATCATGGTCTCCATAACAAGATATGCTCCGCATGTATAGGTACAACATCGCACATTATCTCATCCTGATATCTACCAATGAAAAAATTAATTAACACCCTTTTTGTCACCTTAACTTCCCCACATTCATTTAGCCATTGTAATTTATAAGGCCTGGGATGTTTTAACAGTGTCAAACCCAATTTTTCCACTATGTTAGTGCTAGCCACATTAGTACAACTACTGCCATCTATTACACACTACATACCTTGCCATTGACGTGATATTGCGTGTGGAATATGTTTTCTTGCTGCCGTTCCAAGTCATCCGCCTTGATTTGAGCACTAAGAGCTCGCCTCGTAACCAACAACTTACTGTTAACTGCATACTCCGTTGTATTTTCTTCATCAACATCCTCCAATTCTGGTATGTCTGCATAATCACTCTCACTTTCAGTTTCCACTTCCTCGCTGTCCCGCAGAATCATAGTTCTCTTGTTTGGGCATTGAGAAACAATGTGCCCCACTCCCAAGTAACGAAAACATTTGATGTCTCTTTTTCTTGATGACTGTGAATCCCCCTTTGGCACGGCCTCGCTAGCACTCTCTTCCTTGC